GTGCATCAATAATGTTCGACGAGTTCATATTCAACGATTAAATATTTTTTTTACAACAAGAGAGAGAAACACATCTTTTCATTATTAATCGTATTATACATATACGATAATGAGATGTATATCTGCTTAATGTTTATAACAAGTTGCAAAAAAAATCGGTTATTCACGAAATATTCCTGTAAATGTCGAACACATCGAACATTACTAATACATTTAGCTGTAAATTATGTTTGGTTTGGGTATGTAAGCAACTTTCTCGTTTTTTTATGCATCATTCGAGTAGTTAAATATGTATATTGCAAGGATCTTAAAAGTAGGGGAAATTATGGAATTTTTGTACTGCGACGGTATCTTATATCAATATTGTCCAAATGTTTACAAAAAATTATATTACATTTTTTATGCTGTTGTAAATCTTTTCAATTGATGGTACGTATCACAGAAGAAATCTATAAAAGTCACAGAAAGAATTCAAAAGAATTAAAAAAAAAGAGAGAGATCTTAAAGAGATACGTCTAAATTGTTTTTCGCGAATGGAACCTACAGCAATGATGTCAATATAATATTGCGGATATGAACCATACACTTCATCATTAAGTGAAAAGACTTTTTTATAACATTTTATTTGTAATGAAATAATCTCTCTGTTACGGTTGATTCTTTCTTTAACATTACGACGTCGAGGCATTATCTCCATTACTGTCCATATATCCGCCAGATCCGTTCATGACAAATGACGTTCCCAAACCGTAGAGATGTCCACAATATTTTGCATCATCAATATTATCTTCGAAAAACATCTAAAATAAAAGTCAGAGGCAAATTAAAACTTTACGTATAAACCTAGACATGATCAAAATCGAGATATAAGGCGTTTTAAAGATATCTTATATCCTGATTTTGACTCGCATACTAAGAACTCACAGTCTAAGAACGTAATACATATTATTTTTATAATTTTATATTTGACAAATTATATATTATTAAATTAATATTAGTAATTTAATTTAGCTGTTATTATTAAAGTTTATTATTAAATTTACACTGTATTAGCAATTTAATTTTACTTACTTCTCGCATCTTAAAGAAGACCATTCCAGTAAGAAGGGAATCGGAACCTGCTTGATGCTGAGGACCTACTCTTTGAATTTCCAGCTGCTCTGCCACTTCTTGTAAACCGCCTTTCAAGTTCTTGCACGATTTCATTAAGTACTATGTAATATAAAAATAAGACATATGTTTTATATTTCGTTTATTCTTAATTAGTTTTATTTTTTTTTTTTTTAAACAAAACTCACTTTTACATCATATATCGTCGGAAAGTATATCCTAAGAAGCTCGAAAAATTCACTTTCTTCCTGTGGCAATTTTTGATCCGTCAGGAGTTTCAGTAAGTAACCAAAGTCATAGCCAGAATGAAAGGATAGCCATTTTATGTCATCAACAAGAACAATTCCTGATGTCATTAATAGCTCAGCAAATTCTAAAGGATCGATGCCCTCCTCTTCATGTTTTTTGAACTGTATACCACTATTTTGTAGCATATCTATACTATCCTGTGCATACATGTCTTCACTAGTAACAATAAAATGTACACACCTTATTATCGGAATTATTTAAGAAAAAGTTTAAAAAACTTTGAATGTAATTATCTTAAACTAAGGATTAGATGTTAATGTTAGTAATATACACTTACTGTAAGTTGAATTTAAAATTAAATTGCCATGTTGTATAGCTACCGCCCGGCGTATTCCCCGATTCGTCAAGGAATGTGAGACCAAGTTGAATTATTCGTAGAAGATCTACATTGCAACGTAAGAGCTGATATTGATAGTCGGCATTGGTTCTGAATTCTCCTGTTCCAAATAAAAAACTTGCAATTTGCACATTCTTCCGGAAGTAACATATTTCATTATGGAATTTCTATTTTGTATAGAATACAAAAATATGCATTCTTACCAATAGGCCTAGCTACAACACCTGGAAATTCTGTATCCATTGCGATATACTGATATTGCTGTACGACTTGACGAATTGTACGAAACTCCTCTTCTAGATTGTGTCCCCATACATCTCTGATTCCACATTCTTCATTACTGGGCATATTCCCTCCTCCCTTTTGCTGCCCTATTTGGTTGGTCCCACCTAAAAGTTTATTCATAAGAAAATTCATTTCACAATAAAATAATATCATTAAATATTAGATATATAGAAATAATAAAAATATTCAATGCTTCTCTTTTCATTCCTTAATTAATTTGTTAGTGCAATATTTGACAAAATATATGAATATACACATTTAATTTTACAGACTGCTATCATAAGACTTGAGTATCAGGAACATGAAAGCGAAATTTTTATAATAAAAGTCTCTTTGAAAGTTCATAGAATTATATATTCATACAATGTTCATATTTGTACAGAATTATAAATGCACATCCTCCAAAAATGACTTCTTTATTTGTAATATAATTACATGATTCTCAACCAATTAACGATAAATTTTTTTAACGCTAAATCGATTGTTTGAACTGCAGCTTTAAACAGATATTCTTCGCAAATTTTGCAAAAAGTCACATCTTCACTGGTACTGACAGTACGAATGCATGTTTTTCAATAGTTTTACATGTACTAACACAATGTCATACGAGACTTGTATCTCCTTCATTACATCTATCTTTTTATCCACTTAGAACTCGTCCTTTACCTACTTTGCTTCCATATTCCTGTAATGTATGTCTTTCAATTATCAATTGGATATATAAAGATTTCACTTTCAATGTTCCCGATCCAGTATACGTAACTCTTAATCTATAAAGCGTTATCCAGTATCACCGCAAAGATCATACATATGATTACTACATTTTCTTTACGTTGCAAATAGAGATCAAATATGCGTCGTGCTTGTACACACCGGTAGCTGAAGGCATATTCCTGCATTCACCGGGGCTACACTTGTCTTCAAATTCCTTCTGTCACGGTCTTTCCTTCTTCATATCACTGGAAATTTGTGAATAATCAGTGAAACAACCTCTTACGTAACGCCTGCAAACTGTTAGTGACCAAGAGAAACTTGAAATGTCATCTGCATCGTACGAGGACTACGTATCATTAGTAATAACAGCTAGCACTGGATCCTCAGTCACTGTTGCAGGCAAGACAGGTTATGGATCGCGGGTAAACAACAACAGTTCATCACAGTGGACGTTGTGCAAGGATGAAACGCGGACCGGCGCGAGAACACAAGTGAACACGCGTATTAGAACACCGTGGGAGAACGACGCGGGACAGCAGAACTTGTTATTTGTTAAATAAGTTTACTGAGGAACCGAGGGGGGTTATGTGCCCCCCCGTGAAGTAAGCAGAGAACGTCATCCACGAGATGCACAGACGGCACCGCGCGGCGATCCGTACCTTGCAATATGATATATTCCTGGTCAGCAATATCTGAGCGCAAAACGATTTAATCGAGGCTGCACCCACAATCTTGCCGTGTCAAATCATGAACGGTTTAAACGACTTCTTTACCTCACGAGCTCAGTACGCGCGACGGGCGCTTCGATCGCTGAGATCAGAGAGAAACTTGAGAGAGCCAGAGAGGCCATCCCGACGTTTTACGTAGAACCGTCAAAATCGTCCATACACTAGCGCCAGTAAATCAGTACATCTATTAATGATTTAGGAACTACATAGTCACGTCACAGTTTAACTGTGGCATTGACGATAAAATCACAGTGTCGAAAATAAATATGGTGCAAGTTCGTCATAAATCGCAGTGATAGTCCGTATTCAGAACATGCTTTTATCGATAAATATACGTTTTTATCTTTCTATAGTATATAGTAACGTGAACTACATGTTAATGCTAAATATGAACTATCATAAAGCATATAAAGTGCGTTCAGAATGTTTTCGAGAAACTCACTGAACCGGTGCAAAAGTTCAGCCAAAAAGAACAGGCCTATTATATATTCCATCTGAAAACTAGCGCCCATCTCCAATAAGCGTTCAAATACAGTGCCCGCAGCGAGGCATCACGATCATTGGCTGGTACGTGAGATGAGGATTGACATGTCCATATAAATAGTGCGTAATTTATGGATTCACGCTTTTGCGACTTGAGCAGCGGCATGTTATTATGTTGCATTCCATCGTCATTTCTCACTGGGTAAAGGATTTAGTTTAATGCGACACGGTAAGTGAACTAACTTTGCGTCTATGTCCTAAAACATTTTAAATATCGCGTAAAGCTGGTTCTACATTAGTCGCATCGCAGTATCGCAAGCGTTGCTGTCCAATGAACATCAAGCTAGTTCGACCTCTGATTGGACCGCAACGCTTGCGACACACTTGCATTGCTGTGCTGCGATTAATGTAAAACCAGCTTTAATATAGAATCAGCACTGGTAAATTAATCATTTGTTCAAACGCATTTTTCGCAATATTGGTTCGACTGAAAATCATGATACGTAGCGCAGTCGTGCCGCAGTGTCGTGCGTCTTGTCGCTTTTAACGCGTGAAGTTAACCGCGGTTGGAGATGAAACCGCTTCACTGTTTTCATCGCATTTACATTTCATTCGCGCCGCAGAACGTGGCAGATAGGGGATGACATGGTGGGATGGATCGACTCTGAGACGAGTGACGTAATCAAATATAGTAATTAAAATCCAGATTTACCATTTAATGTCTATATTTAATTCTTTTTCGATATTTAACTATTGCTTAGCTATATATAGATTCGGTATTCATATACTGATAATCTGTTTAAACGCAAAACTTGTTCAGTCGGAGATTATCGCATGAATAATTGACAAATAGATTCTCGGATATCAATCTACACAAATTCATACTTTTACATTTAACTTGCATTATAATACGAAATAACAACCATCATATATTATCTTGAAATACGGAAATTTTTTTTGGATGTTAAAACAAAATTAAACGAAACCTCTTCTTGCCAACTTAATAATTACATTCACTCTTTATTTACAGATCATGGTGAACAATGGAACGAACCAGCTTCGAGATTAGTGGCATCGTGATCAAATGGTAATTGAAACCCATTAAGCTTGTATTTGTCGATTATTGCAACATTTAATTCGCATCTTAATAGATATTTGTAATTTTATCTCTAATAACATCTCTAATAACACACTTTATCCAGGATACATCCTGAGGATGTTCTTAGGATGTTCAAAGGACGTCCCCTGGAGGTCCGTGTTGTTAGAGATACTTTATTTCCTAAATTATAACTTTTTTAATTATAATAAGTATTTTATTTCGAGTAAATGTTAATGTAAATAGTAAATACTATTTGCCTTTTTTCTATTTACTATGCAAAATACTCATATTTTAAATAGAAATTTCACAGACGCACCCTATTAAATAAATATTTCTATTGAATCTATTTCAATTGTTTGCTGCACTGAAAATATATATTTATTTATTTTCTATTTCAACTATCAGATAAAAGTCATATATATATTATAGACGCTTTTTTAATAGTTTTTTTTCCAAAGAAGTCTTATGACTTTTAAAATATCTTTATGTCTTTTAATTACTTTTAAGACATCTCAATGTTCTATAGGTAAATCAAATTTACAGTCGATAATATAAATAGCTACACATGCTTCAAAACTTGAATAATTTTTAGACATACCCAGATAGACAAGCGTGCAATACCTGCACAAGATACCGCTACCGTACTGTTACTGTACTGCCACGAGGTGGTGGTGTACGGCGTAACTGTACGGTAGCAG